ATTAATCCAAAAGGGAAATGAAAAGTTGCAGTAACTCGGGTCATTTTTTAAACCAGTGTTGTAGGTGTTGATAGCTGTGGGCAGGAAGAATCTTCTGTATCGGTCTGTCCTGCACCAGATCAGAAGAAGCCTCTTACTGAAGACACTCTGTTATTGTTTGAAAATCTGTTGATGTTCTTCACTTTATAAAGAATCCTTCGGAGTATCAAGAGGAGTTCCAGAACAGAACTGGCCTTCTTTATTAGCTTTTTGAGCTTTTGTAGGTTTTTAGCTCTAATACTGTTACCCCAGCAGATGATGGCATAAGAGATCACACTCTCAACAACAGACTTATAGATTTGTAGCATCTTGCTGCAAACACAGACGGACCTAAGCTTCTTTAACAAGTACAGTCTGCCCTGTCCCTTCTTTTAGATGGGTTCACAGTTGTGTTTCCAGCCGAGTCCGTTGTCCAGGCGAACACCAACATATCTATTGTCCTCAGCGACCTGCACCTCTTCTCCCATGATGTTAATAGAATTCAGCTCGTTCCCGTTTCTTCTGGGTTTCACACCACTGGAACTAGAGATTTGAATGCAGATATTAAAAAAAATAAATGAAGGTGTTCAAAAGACAGAGCAACAGCACTACAGCTGCAAAGGAGAGGAAGATGGGATAGAAGATTGCTGCTTGAGTTAATGCATTGATTTTTATGCAGTCTTCTATGGGAGGCCGTTAGAAATGCTCTCTACTCTGTTGTTGCATTTGAAGGTCACTAAAATAAGATTCCTCCCGGTCAAAATCACACTTCTAGACGGAACAGTTATAACAGATTTTCTAAATCACATTTTTGCAGCAGAAACTGAATTTCAGAAAGTTAAAAAAAAAAAGAAAGCTAAATAAATAAGAATTGAGTTTTATATACCTAGAAATGTTTAGACACAAGTGTCTGTTTTGACATTTATCAGCTTGGCTGAACATGTATATATCTGAAATACATTTCTTCATAGTCAAAATAATACAAATGTTGACCAGTAACAATGGGAATATAGAGATCTAAAGTTAATTTCTAAACATCCAGAACGTTTATCCTGGATTTAAATGTGTTTGAAATGTTCATTTTGTCAAGAAGACTTTTTTTTCAGATATTAGAAATATATATTCAGTCAAACTTATACAAAACAGCGTTCCATAGTCTGTTGTAACCTCAAAAACATTCAGTGAAAATTAGTTTAATGCTTGAATGGTGATGAGTTGACCTACTCAGAGTTGCTTAACTAACTCACAGCAGCTGTTTCCAACCTTAGGCTAGATTAGCTCAGAGTTGACCCTAACTACAGGGGATCCTGATAACTGTTTGTTTGCTTGCTTATGTGAACAATAAAGTCTTCCTCTGATCTCCATTATGTGGGATGTCAAGGCAACAGGTCTATAGTATTAGCCATTAGTCAGAATGTGGAATGTAAGCATTTACCCATAGAACACTAGTAAACTCTCTGGGCAAATAATGGCTGAAAACCAACTGCGAACAGTTCAATATCTGGGGAGCAGTGACAAATCTTCACAGTAACATGTCCTTGATGACATATCCAGCATTTTTTTTTTTAATCTGTCTGTTCACATTGTCCAAGAGCCTGGCAGAGACAGCTTATGTTTCTTTAATCTGGAATAAAGTCATAAACTGCAGAAGCCCTGAAGTCCTCAGTTGCTTTAAAATTCAGATACAAATTTTATTTGGAGTGGGCATTCTCTGATAACGTCAAAAATACAAAGTTACAAAGCAAAAGTAAAAAAGGAAAACAGTTTAATTTAATAGGAAGGATATAACCAACAACATGACCAATAGTGACATCTAGTGCTGAGAATAAATGTATTAAAGCAATGAAAAGAGGTTTCAGTAGTGCCAGCTTTCTCTTGTAAAACCTTGAATTAAAGTCTTAAACTACTTTTGTGTTTTAGCGCCAACTAGATTTAAATTAAGAATACCTTTAAAACATTGATTTTGACATCAGCTGGGTAAAAAAAAATAAAAGACTAAATATCATGGTTTATTTCCTTTACCCTCTATACCCACCATTATCTTTATAGGTACCGATTCACCGGCCAAAATAAAAACATTTAAAATATCCTCTTGGAGAAGCATAGACTCCTGACATGTTTTGCCTTGACTGTGACATTTTTGGATGTAAAGGCCAGTGAAGGGCTATTTGCTTGGCCTCAGACAATTATCAACTTTGTATATCACCCCCCCAACCCAACATAAAATATTATCCACTGCACATTAAATTTTGCCTCAAGTTTATGTCATCTTTAAAAATGGACATTTGTTCAGTTTATCTGGTTGAATAATCAAGTAAATAGTCTTTGAAGCAAGTGCAGATCCAGAACACTGTGGGATTCTGGGAGATAAAGGATTGACATACATACCCTGACCTAAAAGGAAATATTCTGGTAGAGTAGGATGCATTGCTGAAAAATAAGGGTCAGCATCAGTTGAAGCATATCTGAAAACCTTTATTACCTTACCTGTAATTGAGAGATTTTCGACATCATTTCAAAGCCATTTTCAAATTAGGATCTCCATTTAACCAAAGTCTGCTTCGGTGCGTGCTTTGCCAAAGCATGGACCAAGGGCACACAGAAAGTCAGGCAACAGATTGCTCTGAAAAAACTCAACACCAAAGGCACTGAAACCATCAGTAGGAACATGTGGTGGAGTGGCGGAATGGCAGAAATGCAAGGGTCAATGTTTGGTTACATTACAGTCCAACAAAATTCCTCAGCTGTAAGTATTTATAGAAGGGTTTATGATGTATAGTAAATGTTTTGTTTAATACTAATCACTGCCAGTACACTTTGGGCCGGATTTATCAAGATCCAATTTTGCGTGCAGTAATTTGCGCTCGCAAACTGGAATTTTGCGCGAGGGGCTGAACCATGGTTTGCGGGTGATTTAACAAGAGTGATTGCGTAACTGGTGGAAGGTGCAAAACTGTTGGAGACGCCCTATTTAAATGATGGTTTTGCGCGTTTTGTGGTTTGCGGCAAAGTAGTTTGTAGTCTGTACAAACTAGTGCATTAAAAAATTTAAATCTTACAGTGACCCCCAACAAAAAAAATAAATAAGTAAATATATATATATATATATATATAAATTGGCAACCTTTATTCCCTAAGGTGGTATGTGCTGCAGTAAAAAAAAAAAAAAAAAACAGGTGTTTTGTATTGGCCTGTGACTGTGGATGAGATCCCCGCAGCATTTGGCACGTTGCTCCACAGGCGCAGGGGGAGAACCCCGACCCCGTCGGACAGCACTTCTGAAAAAACGAGATTAGGAGATCCCAGCTCTCGCTGCAACCGTACGCTGGAATGACCCAGATGCAAAAAAGTGCAATGTTGCAAGGAGTTTCGTGATATCTGGTATTGCGTGGGTCCTCTTGTGCCTGGCTCCAAATCCATTCGGAGTTCCCCCAACAGCTCCAAAATGGCAATGCTGGATAAACTATATGTTTTGATGATCGTTTCCTCATTCATTGCAAAAATATTCACACGGAGTGAAAAAATGCGTTCTCTGCGTCTCCTTGCTTTATTTCCATGTCTCCTTCTTGCGACAATAACCGCTGCCATGTGTGCGCAATTACGCATGCAGACCATTTGCACCTTCTTTTGAAACGTGTTAAATATAGAGTCAGATACCGTTAGCAAAATTGCGTTCAAGTTTGATAAATCACTTTGCGAGTGCTAAATTAATATATTTACATGTTCTCCTCCCACAAGACGCACTTTAGCGTGTAAACGCCCCATATTGCATATTCATTGCAGAAAAAGTACTAAATGGATCAGAGGCGCTATTTAGCACGTTTTAAAGACCAAATGCTTTTAGCACGCTGTTGGTAGATCAGTTTGTACATTTTTTAGCGTGCGCAGTGAAATAGCTCACGTTTTAATACACGCAAACCTTTGATAGATCCGGCCCTTTGTCTTCTGCTTTGGTAGCCCTCTAATATTTTTGTATTGATTTGAAATGATCTGCAGATGCAACAGTTACAGGGAGAATGCAGGCCACAGCAATCCAAAGGTTTAGGTTAGATTTCTAGATAAACTTAGATTTCATTTTGAGAGGTAAGCAGTTCGGGTGGGTTTTCGAAGATTTTCTGTCTTTGTAGCCAATGCACCCCATCAGTATGAGACTGTTATCCAAAGATAAGGTTGTCTCAAAAATATTTACAGTAGTAGTTCCAGAAAGGGCCGTGTGGCTGCAGGTTTTCTATCAAAACCAAATAATAGCTCACTAGACTCCATTCATCTCATCAAGTCATGTTCAGATTGGACTCACTTGATGCGATGACTGGAGTCTGGTGTGCTATTGCTTGGTTGGAAAGAAACCTGCAGCCACACAGACCTTTCTGGAACCACTTTGACACCTCTGCTTTGGTTGATCCAAATCTGGAACCACAACAACTGCAAGAAAAAAATGCTTCCTTTAAGAAAAACAAAGTGTATTTTTGTAAGTGTATGAATCTTTTTTTTTAAAAACAGAATTCACAGCTAAAAGAAAAGAAAAAAACAACTAGCTTAAAAAAATCTACCCATGCAATACCCTTTTTCATGATTGAGAATCAGCTTTATTTCTTATAAAAACTTTGAGATAACAGAAGAGAAAAAAATTTGATGTCTTAATCTAGATTACAGAATATCTAAAAATTTCCTTTCAGTTATTAATATCGAGGAAACCCAGATTAACCACATGATAAGATAACAAGGGTACATTTTATTTCTGATGCGGACAGGAAAACAATTCCCTTAAAGTTTTTGTGAATAAGAAAAAGTAAAAAAAAAAATAAAATGAAAAAAATAATAATGTTTCTGTTAAGAAATGGCAGTAAAATCAAAATGAGTAAAGTCAGCAAACCCATAGTGCAGAAACAGAATTTTTTTTAAATCACCCAGAACTAAAAGTCTAAAATTAGACCAAGTTAATTCAGGTAGAGAATGGCCTTGGTTTTTCTCATATTATAATAGTATTCACAAATGTGTGCCAACTATCAAAATATACTCTTATTCTGATAGCAGATGAACTTTCAAATCTAATCCATTTTTTAAATAAATGTACCTCTAATTTTTTTTTACTTGTTCAAAAAGTCTCATCCATGATGTTTTCCACTCCCAGTTGTCATTTGCAAAGTACAACTTCTCCTACTAATCTAACTACATCCGAAAACATTTGTTTAGCCACATTTTACTACACCGTGAGTAATCATACATAGGAATATATATGGCTGTTAGTTATCACTTATGTGCACTTTTATTATGGGATCAGTGCAATCTGACATTGTGGCTCTGATAGCAACTTTGTGGTCCTTGTGAATCAGAGAGGGTCCCTTTGCTTGGCCTTTAGTGATTCTCTTCTCCATACTCTTTGTGAGGTTTTCATAATTAAATTTATCTAACTTCTCACTGACATCAAAGACTCCTACTGCGTACTCGTTTGCCCTGAAGTTCAAGTCATAAGGCACCTTGAACAGGATGACAATTTGCTCTGAGGCTTCCTCTGTAAAGCCATTGAAGAGATCGTAGGTGGAGATACCAGAAAACCCACGTCCAGTGCGAGGGGTCTTGGCAAACACTGCGCCTCCTGACGAGGATGGAAGAATTCTTGGAGGCAGAGGATCAACACAGCTCCCCCTGCATGAGTACATCCTAATCAGAAAAGAATCAAAGCAAAAATAACAGTTAGATTGCAATGTAAGGCAATGTATTGTGTCAACAAATATAGGAGCCGACATACCTAGGATTCTCAAGCGTAAAGCGATCTGAAAGATTAGTGATGTGAATGCTGCATTGCCGACGTAGTGGTGATTTCTTCAAAGGCCCAGTCAATGCTAAGGTGGTTTGCAAAAGATCTGCACCAAAGTTTAATGCTTCCACAATCTCCATTTGTTTCAATGAGCAGTGGTCCTTAGTGGAGGTAGTATACCTACCAGAGATGACTGGAATAAAGAGGATGCACAGTCATTTGGAATCTCATAAGACCAGATAAATTCACTGGAGGTTACAGTATTTAAATACATTGGTTGATTTTATCAGAGAGGATTTGAACTGATTATTGAAACAAAAAGATCTACTGATAAACTTTTAGGGACCCACATTAGCTCATGAGATATTTGTACCAAATCGTTTAAATACAAAGTAGAAAATCTCTTTATTGTCCCACAATGGGGACATTGTGGTGTTACAGCAGCAAAAGGTTATAGCAGAAGTTGTCATAAATACAAGAAAATACTTTTTAATGGACTTAAACCCTGTATCAAGTTTGGTGTTCTTTCAAAAGTTATAAGAAATTAGAAAAAAAGACATTTTCTTTAAAACAAATAACATGAAGTTAAAATACCCTTATTTTGTGTGTTTTGCTTAGTTTATAATATATTGCAGTTTAAACTGAGGGTGTTTTGTTTTTTTTATTTATACAATAAATTAAATCCCTGATGGGTGTAAAGTAATGTGATGACAGAAATAGCTCCTGGTATTTCTAAACCCTTGGGATTTATGGTTTGGTGACGGCACTGTCCTGAATCTTTGAGGAATCAGATTTTTTTTTTGCAGAAAATGTCAAACAGGTTTGAGTTAGTAAAAACAGACTAAAGAGAGCTAACAGAAACATAGGGTAAATGGATTTATGCTGTAAAAACCCATTATCATTTTTGCATTCCTGCCAATACGCTTTTTTGGTCTAATAATAAACACAAAAAATGTTGGACTTACAAGTGCTGTCTTTCCACTCGGATCTTTGTCCAAAAATCATTTGGATTTTCCATGTTGCACCTTAATCAGTTGGATTAACCCATATCCTTTGGTCAACCCAGAATGAAGCTTGCTACTGCTGAGCATTCCCAGAGTAAGGCCATGCTGATTGGAAGCAGCTGGTAACTATAGACACCTGAAGGATAAGTTGATGAGCTCAGAGATGATAGGCAGCAATAATTAAATAAAATATAAAATAATATTAATAAAGTAAACCAATATTTTTGTCTTTTGTTTTGAGGTTTTCATAGCTGGCACTTTGTGATACTGTTTTCTTACTTGGCAGATAATCATGAAAAATACTGATAAGAAATCAAATCTTAAAATATCCGAGTTCAAAATGTTCTTTTTTCTGCACAGGCTGAAATATACTAATATAAGGAAGTATGCAAACTCCTTTGATATTTATTGTTTTGCATTATCTAAAAAAAGCATTACATTATATGTCCTCAAGGCTTACGTATGATTGTATTACTAGCGTCATACTGTTGTTTTAAATAGCAAATTGAATGTTGAAAGGACAAGAGAGGTTAGACTGATGAAGTCATGTGACCATCCTTTTCCACACTGAGCTCTGAGGTGTTGTAATCAGTGTGTGATCAAAGAAACATAAAAACATCAAAACCAGGAGGCACTACCTGCAAATCTAAATTCCAGTTGTAGAACAGGAAATGTTTTTGGCAAAGGCAGCTTCAGAAGGAGCTAATGTAAAAAAACTTTCTTCAGTGTATGAAACACGAGTGGTATGTGAGGACTTCCAGTTAAGTATTAGACGTTATAATGCGTTTGCTCATCCAACTACCCTTAATTTTAACCATCTTCGCTGTGTACCCTAAAGAAGCGAATCCCTACAGCATTATGTCTCCCGGTATCATTTTCTTTCTACTTATAGTAATGATTTACATTGTGTTGACAAATCTAATCTCAGTAAAATCAATTGAAGTTTAGAGCAATAAGATTAAACAAGCTCTAAGAACTTTAATGCAAATAGAAGGTGCTACATTTTTCAGAAAAGGAGAGTAAAGCGCAATGTGATTTGATATAAACTTTGGATTTTGATTTTAACTTTAACATTTGCTTAACTAGTAAAATTACACCAGAGACACTTCAGGTGGAAAAGTTTCAGGAGAGGGATAAGAAAAACATTCCCCAGTTCCTGCAAGGATAAACAGCCAAATGCTTGGGGGAAAAAAAGAAATAAATTACTGCACAATGATAGATTTTAAGACACATTAATGCTGTTTATTTTGTGTTATAATCAAGTTGAGGATTTCTCTCTCCCACTCTGGAATGACTGAATATTGGCTACTACTTGGTGCGTGCTAGTTTTTCAGGAGGGTTGAACTGCAGGAGAAATAAGAGGATTTAAGGGGTTTTAAAAAAACGGTGTTGGAGAAAGTAAAGCAAAAAAAACCTAAAGCATAAAAGTTACAGAACGTTTAAAAACTCAGGTTACAAACAACAATTATAATGTAAAAAGGTGAATATTAGTGATTGCAAAGATAACAGCAAGTCTAAACCTTTAGCCTGGTGTTCCTGTGGAACATCAGGTGGCATCCGCCTTCAAGACCTGAGGGATCACCTTGACTTGGACAACATTGAGCTCTGCCACCCATCTGAACTATTCAGATCCACCAGCAGTGATTTTGAGATTACTTAGCAGGAAAAAAAGATTTAACTAATAAGGCAAGGAATAACAATCCATCAAAGAGAAATGTGTAAATTGCACGTAAAGCTAAGCTTTTAAGAAAGCAATACAAAATTCAGAATATTAAAATAAATCAAAAGAGACTAAACTCTATGGATCAGTTAAATGATCACCGCTGGTTCGTTGCGATTACATAATGTTGATTTTACATTCAAGGATTGTACAGATGAAATATGTGACATAGATAGGGGGTTTGATTGTGATGCTTTTTTTTCACTCTCAGCATTAGTGTGTTGTTGTAGAACCGTTCTTATCTAGTCCAAATCCAATGGAGGTAAGGTTTCTCAGATAGCTTGCACAGATGGTTAAGTATTAACAGTATTTATTCCAGTCATGTTTAACAAATCATTGATACAAGCACAAATTGCAGAGGAAGATCTCGCCTTCTGTCAGGCCCTTACATTCCTTACATTGCTGTCTTTCCTTTTTTTATCTTAAAGTTAGCCAGCATGTCTCCGTCCCAAAGCAACCCAGTCACCATTCAGCCTTTCTCACACAGCCTACAGCATTACTGTATAAGATGCTGCTGCATTAGAATGTCAATTTTGGCTGGCCCATACAGAAGAGTGAACAGATGTAGAAATGATCAAATGTAACAGTTATTAAAAACAGAAAATAACATAAAAAGAAATGAATCTTAAAACAAGTGTAAATATTAGAGAGGTTGAATTTGGTCGTACGGTGGGTCCAAAAATGGATTGTAATGGACCTATCAAAAATAACTGATTACTTAAATCAACTTACAAAAAGTTTCAACGTAATTGCTTTATCAGAATTATGGCTAAAAGAAACCTATGTAAATTAATTCCAGATTAAAGGTTATGAATTCTACAACGCGAAATTGAAATTACAAGCGAGGAGTAGTTACTTTGTACATAAATAAAACCTTAAAATGTAAACCTGTTAAGCAAATGACAATTGTGGTTGACAATATTATGGAAATAGTTGGAGGGGAAATAATTACTGAAACAGGAAAAAAATAGCATTATGTTAACATTTTTTTTTCTATATTAGGAATGAGGATGGAATGTTACTATGAGGATCTTTAATGATGGATTGCCAGTGATCATGTCTCTGTATTTGCTATTTATAATGAACAATGTAATTATATAGAACACAAAACAGCCATATCTTTAAGGAATAGATCAACTAAAGCCTTGAATGCCTTAAGAGAAGTTTAAAAAAAAAAACAGAGAAGAGACCAAGTTTATAAAGATGATATGAATGTTGCTTATTATTCCTTTATGAAATTATTGATCGGTTTGTATAATAACAACTGTTAACTTAGAATTATATAAGATAACACCAACAAAACCTCTTTTCACAAACCCTGGATGACAAAGGGATAAAAATGCCTGTATAAAAAAAAAAATTACTTGTACAAAATGTTTTTAAAATTAAGGACAAAAAAAGGCAGGAGAGCATTATAAAAAAAATATAAAAATAAATTAACATGTATTATAAGAGGGTATAAAAAATAATATAGTAAATTGTTGGAGGAGAAGGGAGCTAGTATGAAGGATACATGGGCTATAATTAATAATTAAAACAAAGGTACAAGTAAAAGCAATAAATTCTCAAATATTTATTCAAAGACAACGAAAATTATATAAATGACATTTGTCATTTTCCAAAGGGGTATTCCCAGATTAAAACTGCTAAAGTAAAACCACTTTACAAAATGGAAATAACCATAAACATTCAAATTATACTCAATTACAATTTTAAAAGTTAACAGAGTATCTGTTTGATGCTAGATGAAATAAGTTTATTAATAAATACGATATTTTAAGTAACAGTCTGTAACATTCACTACATCAGCAATAGTTGATTTGGTTATGGAAATTTTGGCAGGAATAGATAAAAAACAATATTTCGTAAGTATATTTGTCAATCTTCAAAAATATTTTGATACATACATCATAAAATATTATTGGGCAAGTTGTACAAAGATGGAATCAGAGAAATGGCATATGGGTGAATAAAAAGTTACCCGATGGACGGACAACAATTTGTAGAAGTAATAGTAAGATAAAATCTGCTACACACCAAATTAGTTGTGGAGTACCACAAGGTTCAGTCCTTGGAGCTTTACTCTTTTTTATGTATAGCAGTGACATAATTGAAGTGTCCAAGTTGTTTAAGTTATAAAATGTGTGCTAAAAAAGGCAAAAGAAAGGTTTTAGCTGCTGAAATCAACCTTTAGCACAGAAGAATAGCCATCAGACATAGTAGCTCTAATGGTGACATCTTGGCTTATGTGAATTAATGAGCGGCCATCGGCTGCACCTCTAACAAATGTAATGTCATTTTTTTTTGCCATTTCCTCATGCAGATTAACATTACATCCCCTGCACACATCAAATACACCCACTGCATATTCGTTCACCTTTAGGTTTAGGTTATAGGGAACCTTGAAAAACACAGCCATTTGCTCTTTGATTTTTCCAGAGGAACTGTTGAGAAGATCATAGGTGATAATGCCAGAAAATCCACGTCCTGTGTGAGGCGTTTTGGCAAAGACTGCATCTCCAGATCCAGAAGGCTGAATTTTTGGTGTCAAAGGATAAACACAAAATCCCCTGCAGAGGAACATCCTGGACAAAGAATTTACATTTATGATAAAGCACGATAAGAAGACAAATCCTAAAAGTTCCTAAAAGAGGTTCCTTACCCAGGATTCGTGAGAATGTAGCAGTCTGAGGAGTTTGTGACCTCAATCTTGCATTCTCTGCGTGGTGCTGCTTTACGTATTCCTTCACCGACTGTGATGGCAGTCATAACAAGCTCAGATGCAACGCTTATTATATCCACAATTTCCATTTCCAGTGGAACTCACCTGTGAAAAAAAATTATTATATGTGCAGAAATGCTTAACTCGCATTGCTTTGGCATCAACATGCAGGCTAAATTTAGAAAGATTAATTCTTAAACTTCAAAGATGTTGGTTTAAAGCAAAACAAGCAGAAAACGTGTTTTACAAATTATGTTAACACCTCACTTTAAACTGTCAAGCATGACAAATGTATTTGTCATGCTTTTAAAAAGGGAAAAAGATCAAAATAAATTGTGCCTGTGATAATTGCTGTTTTTCAGCAGTTTGCTGTTCTGCAGGGGATAAAAAATATACAGTCATCCAACAATATATTGGAAAAAATAGAGGACTTGAGATCCAAGTAAACTTGTAAGGTTATTTTTAAATGATCAATTTACACCAAAAGTACTACTTCAGGTTAACAGAAAAAAGAAACAAATATAAGATGAATAAAAGTTGTATTTCTTTTAAGCACCTCTAGCGGTGGGTAAAGGATCCAGAATTCCTATTGTTCCTCTGTCCGGGTCCTCTGAGTGAATTGCAAAGGTCGAAGGTTTTAAGGAGTAGAATTGAT